GCCCATCAGATCGTGTGTATGTCATGTGGATAAAAATCTCCCAGTTCCCTCGATTCCTTTCCTTACTCCACTGAAAGAAAAGAAATGCAGCGAATCTGTTTACATTCCCGAAATGCCAGGATAAATTGGGAGGATTGCATGTCAGCGCCCAGAGTTCGAGACAGTTGTTGTTTTACAGGAGAAGTGTTTGGGGGTGGACTTGTTCCCTTTCGCGTCCTCTAGCCTCGCCAGGAGAAGAGACGGTGGCCCCCACCTCCCAGGAAGAGTTGGCCCGGCCTGCCTCCCCCGGGAGGGCGGGCCGCGGGCCAGACGGGCCCACCCTGCGGGACCCACGGAGGGCGGCGCGGCGGGCGGCGGGCGCGGCTGGGAGCGGGGGTCGGTGCCCAGGCCTGGCCGGGAGTGCGGCGGCGCCCGGGGCTCGGGGCTCGGGCACGACTCGCACCCCCGGCGGCTCCGGCGGGCGAGGGGAAGGAGGGGCGAGGCGAGCTTTCCATCCAAGAATGCGCATCAGAACTTTTGCTCCCCCCCCCCCAACTTCTTAAAAGCAAAAGCTATAATTTATAGGCCTTTTCGATTCGCGGAGTGTTCTCTATTTGAACTCGACATTCAAACTCCGCCAAAGGGGGCGGGAGGAGCGGGAGTTGAAAAGAGGCGGCCGCGGCGGGGGAGGCCGGGCGGCGGCGGGGCCCGGGGCGCCCCCGTGCGCCCCAGGGACGCAGGGCGCGCGCCCCTCTTTGGACTGGAAAGCACAAATCTGTCCCCCCAGCCACCCACACACCTCCTTGTCTTCGAGGGCTGGTCCTGCGGCCTCCGCGGCCTCCCCCCGCCCTGGAAGGGCTGGGAGGGTCCCACTGCCCACCGCCTGGGGGGGGAGCACGTGGGGGCCCCCTGCGCGCGCGCGCGCGCGCGCGCGGGAGGAAGCACAGACTCGGGGCGAGCGAGGCGGGGCCGGGCTGGGACTGGGGGGTACAAGGTGGGGCCTCCAGCCCTGTGCTCCTCCGGACTCCCCCTCTCCCCGCCTCCCTCTCACCTCCAGACTTTCTTGCCTTTAAAGAGAGGGGGTACAATAAGTGGAAGACGGTGAACTAACTACATGATCTTATTTGTTTTTGAATATCAAATTGCGCCTATATAAAGAAGCCCCCCCGGAATGGGGATTTTTATCTGCTCACATTTGTAAAACTGGTATTTTAGACTTTGTATAAAGAAGCGCCGCTTACCAAGTGTATCTACTACATGTGGACGCTATTTTCAGATGAAGCTTCAATGGAGGGACACGTCTGTGACCCAGTGGACGGCGACTCGGGGACCCGCGTCTACCTGGCTGTCGCCTTCCTTTCTGTCTCCCTCCCTCCGTGGGCTCCCGCCTCCCTCCCTCGGGGCTGATTCTTCTCCTTCCTTCTGACTTCCCTCCCGCGGGCCAGCCTGGCTGTGCCCCCGCCGCCCCTCTGTCCACCGTCTGTCCGTGGCCGTGCGTCTGTGTCTTCTCCGCTCGCTCTTGCGACACTGACCTGGGGGGGGTGTGGGTGGGCAGGGGCCAGGGCCGCGTGGCTGAGAGTCTGCAACCACGCGGGATGCGCGCCTGTGGGGTTTATTTAATTCTAAGATTTGTACAAATCTCGAATCGATCCCCGCCTCAGCCCAAGAGTGAAGCTTCAGTACCTATCTTCCGCGGTCGTGAATGTCTGTATCCAATACCGCTTTCTACGTGTTTAAATATATACTTTGTAAATAGAGACGTGTCTCGGTTTTGTTCCTTCCCGGCCCCCCTCACCCCACCCCCCACTCCCATCCCCATCCCCATCAGAGCAGAGGGACGACCACCCCTGGAGAGAGCACCCCTTCCTCCTGTCTCGTTACCCACCCCATCCACCACCACCCTCGCCCCCGTGGGCCCGGAGGATTCCAGCTGCAGAGGCCTTTCCCCAACTGGGGGAACTTCCCAGCTAGGGGAGGGGGAGAGGGGGCTCCAGAGGGACTGGGCTCTGACTCCACTCAGCCCCCAGGGGGGAGGCCGTGGCTCTTCTCACCTACGGGCTACATTCCTCTGGGTCCCGGGCAGACCTCGGGGACACCGGGAGGATGGGAGCAACCTTTAGGGTCCCTTTTCTCCTGGCGGCGCTCCCCCTGCGAACCCCACCCCTAGGCCCGACGGCACTGGTCCCCGAGGCCCTGGCGCCCCCCGGCCGGGCGCCCCTGCGGTTCCCGGCCTGCTTCCCGGGGCTGTCCTGGGACCCGCCCCCCCAGACCCACCCAGCCTCGCCAGCGCTCCCCGAAATGCAGCGCCTCGCGCCTATTGATTGAGGAATTGAATTCGCGGGTATTGCTAGGCAACTGGCTGCTCGGAGCCGGCGCAGAGCGCGCTGATGTGATTAGTGAACCTGGCGCTGCCGGCGCAGCCCCGCGCCCCCCGCCCCCCGCCAGCCTCTCCGTCCCTGCTCCTGTTGGGGTGGTGAAGCCCCAACGCCGGGCGAGGCGCGGTCGGGGGGGGCGGAGCAGGGCGCAGGGTGGGGATGGGGGCTCTCAGCCCTTCCCGGCCGTCGGCTGTGCGGGGCGCGGGCGTGGGGCGGCAGGGGGGCGGCCCTCGGGAGCCCAGGGCACCCACGGCGTCGGCCCCATCCCATCCCATCCCATCCCATCCCATCCCATCCCATCCATCCCATCCCATCCCATCCCATCCCATCCCATCCCATCCCATCCCATCCCATCCCATCCCCATAACCCCTTGCAGCCCTCGCCGCAGAGAAGCCCCGACCTGGGCGCACGGCCTGGCACGAAGGGAGGGGCGTGGGGACGGTTCGCCCGCGCATCTCCTGTCTTCCGCCAGCCGGTTGCGGACCCGCCCTTGGCGGTGCTCCCCGCGCCTCTTTCCCCAGTTTCGGAGAGCTGAGTGGGAGGACCAGGGGGAGGGAGCCAGCGGCGCGGGGCCCAGGGCAGCGGGTCACGGGGCGCTGGGTGCCCTTCGGACTCGAGGGGCCTGCGCAGTCGGGGCGGGGAGGGAGTAGGGTGGCCTGGCCAGGGGCGCCACCGGCGGCCAGCCCCTGAGCCGAGGCCCCACTGCCCGGTCGGGGACTCCCTCCAACCACCTCTCCTGGGTGTTGGGCACTGGCGTGGACTGGTGTTTAGGAGGATGTGAGGGCGCCGACCCGGTCCCCCTTTCCCGGCTGGCTGGCCACCGTCCACCTCGGCAATGGCCGGGAGCTCCTGGCGTGGCTTCCGTCCCCGGGGAAGGTTGGCCAAGAGCCGCCAGGTGCGGAGGCCCGGCCCGCGGTGTCGCCCCGCCCGGGGTCGGCCCCCCTGCGGCCCTAATGCACCGCCGGGGGCAGCTCTGGAACCTGGATGGCTCCCCGGAGCGCGGCAGATCAAATCCATCTTCCTGTCCCTTTGATGCTTACAGGGCGCCGGACCCAGGCGCCGGGAGGCCGGCACCCAGCGCCTTGGGGGTCACTCTCTGGCGTCCTCCAGGCCCAGAGGGGGCCTCGGATCCAGCTGGTCTGAGATGGGGGCTGCTCAGTGCTGGGCGGCGCTCCCCAGCGTCCAGCCTTTGGGGCCTGCACCCGGCAGAGGAGGCTGTGGCTTGGGGATGGGGCCGGGGCTTTCTTCCCGAATGGAGGCCGCCGGGGGACCTGGGCGCCGGCGGGGAAGGGGTCGCGCAGCTGGGTTCCCGGGGCAGCTCCAAGCCGGCGGCGGGGAACGTGCCCCCGCGCGTCCCAAGAGCCGGAGGCTCCGAGTCTGCGGGTCGCGCGCGCCCTCTAGAGGCCACGGCCTCACCCCTCCCCGCGCCCACCCCCTCCGGGCCTTAAGATCCGCCTTGGGCTCGCGGCCGGTGCCTCTCTGGGGCTCGCGGGGCGCCGGGAGGGCCGCAGCTCCCCCGCCCAAGGGCACGCTGCAGCGGGCCACGGTGGCCCCCCTCTGCGCCCTCCCCGGGGGAGGAGGGGCTGGTCAGCGCCGGGATCCTCGGAGCCTGCTGGCCCATCCCGCCGGGCGCCCTGCGGCTGGGCCCAGTCCAGGAAGGCCGCGGGCCGGGTCGGGCCCTTGGCAGCCCAGCCCATTCCTCTGGGAAGGCGGTGGATTAGGCCATCAGACCCGCCGCGCAGAAACGAACAAAGGCCGGCGTGGGTCAGGGCCTGCACCCGCCTGGCCGGGGCTCCCACGAGAGCCCAACCCCGGCCGCCCGCACCCACTCCTTCCCCGCCACCCTCACCCCCTTTCGCAGCTCTCCAAAGCCAGAGGACCGAAGCCCACCTTCTCCACAACAAAATAGCTCCAGCCTCCGCAGGGGCGACAAAGAAAGCAGGGCTGCGGCCTTGCCCCGCAAGGGTTGCGCTTCAAATTCTCGGGCCTTCTCTGCAGAGTGGGTTCTGTTTCTATTCCTCCCCCTGCAGGAAAACATTTCAGGCCTTCGCCCCAAACTAGCCTTTCAACTTCCAGGTCCAACTTCTGTCTTCACTTCAAAGGGACCTTGGTTCTCCCTGGAGGCTCAAATCTATGAACAAATTCAGGCTGAGAGTGATGCAAACCTTGAAGGCCCGCAGAAGGTTCTAGAAGAAGCGAATCATCTCTTTATTGTGAGCTCTTAGTACAGTAGCACCAGGGACTCCAAACCCCTGGAGCGCCAGAGTGACTCCCCTGGAATCTTGCAGCTTTCAAGCGGTGTCTTTGGGGTTAAAGTATTGCCTTCTGGGAAACGTCTGAGTGAGTTTATGTCGTGCAGCCTCCCTGGCCTCTGCTCACTAGATGCCAGGAGCAGCAACACTTACCCCTGCCCCCCAAAACCACCTCCAGACACGGCCAAATCGCCCTTTATGAATGCTGGTGCAGGGGTTCACGGCTATAACCAACCCCACCTTTGCTTAGAAAAAAAACACCTTTTCCGTGCTAACCGCTTCCAGAAGCCTTGGATGTTCTATGCTTTAGGCCACATCCAGAGTACTTCGCCTCAGGAAAGGGCAACCGAAGAGACTATTGTTTCCAGGCATCAAGCATCACGCACACCAGGCTGACAAGTTAAAGAAAAGATTTATTGATGTACTAAAAGTTAACAAAGACAAAAACCTGACACCACTCACTCTAAGGTCGTTCCCCTGCAAAATAAATTAACGTCAAAAGAACAACAAAAACCCCCCCCCCAAAACCTGCAACCTAGGCCTAGTGTTAGTTTTCCAAAAATACTAGAAAAACAACAGAATCTTAAGATGTACTTGAGCAAAAATCTGGTCATCTAGGCACTACCTCGCCCCTCCTCCCACCCCTCCCCCCAACCATGGCGGGCTTCCTGGGGGAAGCATTTTCTCCAACTGGCAGGTCCTGATTGAATATGGGGGCTGGGCGGCAGCCCTGCTTCAACAAAGATCTCAGGCTTCCCGGGGCAATAACATCTTCACTTTTGTTCCCTCTCTTTTAAAAAAAAGCAAACAAACAGCCATAGTTTAAAGCAATTAGAAGTGGCATACATGAATGATTTTTTTCTTTTTAATTAAAAAACACAAATCAAGCCAGCCATTGGCACTGGTCCAAAGCTCTGGTCCTCCCCGTTTCTCCTCCCCATCCCCCCCTCGTGAAACCTCCAGGCCCAGAGCCTTCTTAGTCAGGTCAGAATTTTGAGTGTAACCAGATCAAGGTACACTCTTTTTGGTACCAAAAAATATATATAAAAATATGTCCAACCCTCTTAAGACAAGGACGGACTGGCTGGCCACTTCTTCCTATCCGTTGCAAGCAAACAAAGACACGACAGGATTCACACACCCATTCAGTATACACCGTGATGCAGTCCATGTGGGTAACCCCGCAGAACAGACCAGGGGTCTCCGATGTGGCTGATCCCCAGCGCCACACACACACACACACACACACACACACACACACACACGTGCATACACATAGCAGCAAATAAAAAAAGTACTACTTTTATTGGTAAACATGACATTCAACTCTTCAGCAAAGGCAGTCACACACACACACCACACACACACCCTTTTAAACAGAAACCACATGGAGTCCCAAGCACCAAAGAAACCACAACACAGCGAGAAGGCAAAGTGGCTGGAGTAAGGTGTTTGCAGATTCAACTTTGGGATTGAAAGAGCTGGTAAACAGAAAGGCACCACGTGGGGGTTCGGAGACCCGGCTGCTGGGGGCGGCGGGTCAGCGCTGACACACGTGTGTCCAGAGGCCCGCAGGAGCCCAGGCTTAGCCCGCGGGGCTCGGGGAGCTGCTGTGGGCCTGGCTCTGCAGCCTAAGGCAGAAGGGGAGTCGCAAAACCTGGCCGCCTGGCGGGGGCAGCCCACAGGAGCCCCCGTCTCCACTGCCAGGGTGCATCTGGGTGTCTAGAGCTGGACGGGGAGCCGGCGTCTGTGGCCCAGTGTGCTGGGCGCCTTCTTCCACACTGTGCAGTCACCTGCAAGCTCTTCCCGCCTCCTGGGGCAGTGGAGGGGGCAGTTCTCCCCTTTACTGCCCACATTCCAGTTTGAGCCTGGTTGTCTGGGACTCTCAGCCCTCAGGTCTGCCAAGATGGGCACCCTCTGGCCGCCGCCCCGTGTGGCCACCACGCAGGAGACGGAGAAGCTGCACCTGGAGAACCCCTGACAAGGTCCTGGACACGCATCTGTCCCCAAAGGCACGCTGTTGAAATGGATTCAGACGTACAAAAGCCATCTCTTTCTATTTGGCGAGGAGGAGGAGGGGCTAGGGGGCTGGAGGTCTGGCAGGCCCACCCCTCGGTAAGCCTGGGCTCCCCTGCCATCAAGGCAACAGGACCAAGGGAGCGGCCACACCTGCTGGCTGGCTTCCAGCAAGAGCTGAGGCAGAAGACGACCCCACCTCCACTTTTCTTTTGGCATCACAAAGACCTGGTGACCCAGCTCCCTGACCCACCTTCCTGCCCCAAGCCATACAAGGCAGCTCCCAGACAGCCGGGGTGGGGGGTGGGGGGTAGTTGGGCTGGTAGATTTGGCCTTTCTGGGGCCCTCTGCCAGGTGGGGCACTCAGAACCCCCAAAGGTGGGAGGGATTGTCAGGGAGAGGCAGTGCCCATCCTCCTGGGCAGAGGTGGGCATGGGCGGGAGCAGCACCGAACACCCACACGACAGCTGGAAGCCAGCAGGCCCTGGGAGGGTGGATCTACTCCAGTAATTGCCTGCACACCCCCACCTTCCAGGGGCTCTTGGGGCCATGTGTGGGGCCACAGCTGTCCTTGCACAGAACAGCAAAAAAAAAAAAAAAAAAAAAAAAAAAAAGTATAAAGGGCAGTGACAGCGACCCCTTCTGCTTCTGCCACCCCCCCCAACCCCGAACATGGAGGCTCCAGGTGAAACAGCTCTGGGACTAGCCCTTCCCAGTCTGTGACTCCCAGCGCAACCCCAGGGGCGCTGCAGTTGTTGACCGGAACCAGGGTTACAGGGCACTGAGCACCCCACCAGCCAGCACCGGTCCTCCTCCATCCAGGCCCCCAGTCCTCAGCCGTCAGGCACTGCCCTAAGGGGAGCACTGATTGGCGAGGCCCCTTACTTGCCCCCCACCCCAGGCCCTCTTGTAAAAACCTAACTTGAGCCCTGGAGAGGTCAAGGCCTTGCCCTGCCCCCATCCCACTGTTGGGCAGGGACTACCAGCCTGGATCCCTCCTCTACAAGCCGTGCCCCCTGGAAATCCAGAGCAGAGCTGAGCACCACCCTGTCGCCGCAGGGCAGGCAGGGCAGGTCAAACAGCAAACCTGACAGCCTTGAGGAATGTTAGGCCAGAGACACAGAAGGACTTCCTGAGGCATGTGGGAAGTGAAGCAAAGGCCCAGAGGTAGGAACGAGGGCAAGGCCAGGCCTCGGCAAGGCATCAAGGTACTGTCCCACCTGAAATCACAGGCAGGGCCAGGGCAAGTCCCCTCCGAGCCTGCCCTTGGAGGCCACCCGGCCCCTGGAAAGGGCCTGGGGTGCAGGGCAGTTATCAAAGCAAAGCCAGAGGCCAGAGCCAGGCAGCCGGGTGGCCACAGGGTGTCAGTAATGTCTCAGGTTGAAGAAGCCCACGCTGGTAGGGGACTCCTTCACCGTGACCGTGATGAGGTTGGCAGTGACGTCGGTGACGAAGACGTGCTCAATGAGGCTGCGGGTGGGCTTCCAGTCCTGGCTGGTCTGGACCGACACTGATGGGTTTTGTCTGGCGCCGGGTGGCGAGGCGGAGCCGGGGTCTGAGTCGGAGCTACTCTCCTCGCCGGCGCTCAGCTCTGAAGCCAAGGCCAACTTGCGGGCGTCGCCGGGGGCCGTGTGGCCCTCCTGACTGCTGGGGGCCGCGCTGCCCTTCATACAGTCCCTCTTGCCTGCAGAAGTGGGCAGAGCTGCCACCCGGGAAGCCAGCTTCTCACTCTTGCTGGTGTCGGAGGGCACGGTGGCCCCGCTCCCCCCGGTGAGGCCACCCCCGGCGCTCTTCCCGGTGGTTGGGTTGGTGGCAGGGACACCCTTGCTGGCCGTGGCATGGCGGGCAACCATGCCCACCCCAGCTGTGCCGTTCTTGACACTCTGTAAGTCCAAGACCTGGAGGCTCAGCTCCTGGGTGGGTGCAGGCTGGGGGCCCAGGCACCCAGCAGGGCCCTTGCTGCTACTGTGGATGTAGGGGGGCCCCCCTGCGCCCCCCCCTTTCTGCTCCACAGCCCCACTGCTGGGGGCCTTTGGGACTTTGCTTCCTGGGGAGCTTAACCCCAGCTCCCCCTTCTGCGTCCTCACCTTGAGGTCCAGCCCGAGGCCGCACTTGCCGGCAGTCTGGGCCTTGAGCGCCAGTCTGCTGGCGGCCTGGGCCTGGCTCTGGCTCATTCGGTTCATGTAGTGCACGATGGAGCTCTGCCAGCTGATGCCGCCCCGGCTGGGGCTGCCGGCCATGCCCTTCATCAGACTGGCCAGGTTCTCCGGGGTGGCCATGGCACCGGGGCCACTGCACGCCTCCTTGGCGTGGGCCTTCAGGGCTGCCAGGCCTGCCACAGGGGCGCTGAGCGGCGGGGGCAGCTTGCTGGCCGGCGCCCCCAGGTCCTTCCGGGCAGTCTTCAGCACCTTGGCCAGGCTCACGGGTCTCCGGGCCGCCTTCTGCTCCGGGGGCAGGGGCTTGCGGCCTCGCTTCTTCCGGATGGGGTCCTTCAATTCCGGTTTGGCCACCAAGATCTGGGCCTTCTTCTGAGGCACTGGGTGGGTCTCGCGGCCCCGGGGACCCCTCTTGGCGTCTAAATCACTGTCGTCCTCTTCATCTGAGGAAGTGGAAGAAGACGTGGAGGAAGAGGAGGAGCTGCTGGATTTGGAGGGAGCGTCGGGTTCCTGCAGAGAAAGAGCACAGAGAGTGTCACTGTCTCTAAGGTCGGGTCTCCGTGGTCCACGGGGCATCGGACCCCTCGAAGCTGAAACCTCTGGTGGCTGCCACACTAGAAAGACAGCCAGGAGGGAGTGATTTCTCACCCCCCTTGTTCCAGAAGAGATGTAAAAAGTCCTTATGAGAGTCCTTGAAATGCAGTTAAAAGCAGAAGAACAGGTGTTTTGTGAAATCAAAGCAGAGCAACGAAATGAAGAGCATGCACGGTCATGTCCTGGACACTACGGCCTCAAAGGGGGACGTGAATTTGGCTCCAGGCTCCTCAGCAGGTGACTCGGAAAGGGAAGCGCAGAGCTTACGATGCTTCGTGCGTAATCGCTCGTTAACCTAAAGCCAAGTGCACATCCTGCTTCGGTCCTCTCACTTCTGAAGGTTCTGACCTTCAGAACATTCCGGCACACAGGAAAACAAACTGCTGCCCTCCTGCCTTCTGGGCGTCCCCCCAAAGGCAGGTTAAGTGCACCCTCCCGTTTCTCCCCGGGCCAGCACTTCCAAAGGCACGCTTTAGGGTGATGGAGGTGGCGTGGGCTCCCTGCTGCGAGGCTTGCCCGCCTTCGGTGGGGGACGATCCAATCACACCTGAGGCCTCAGGGCCTCCTTGCCCAGCCAGGCCCACCGCCTTGATGCCACTTCTGTGGTCCCCGCTGGTCACCCCCGGGGAGGAGAGCCCGAGTACACAGGAACCCACTCCCCCGACCCCCGTTCCCACTGTCCTGCTCAAAAGGAAGATTGTGAAGAGCAGGCCAGTGTGGACCAGCCAACAAGCCTGAAGGCAAGACTTTAAGAGCTTCCAGAAGAGCAGTTTTTGTAAGAGACTGAACTCTTGGCCACCACGTGTGGGTTCATGATCCTGGGGCAGTGCCCTCCAGAAAGGAATCCAAGACACATCCCAGACTGAGGCCATGACCCGGACCCCAAGTGTGTGTCCCTGTGAGCACCTACCGTGTGCACGCTTCCTGTTCCTTTCTGTTCCCGTGAGCTACCAACAGTGAGAAAGCAGTCGGCAGCCAAGTCTGGCCCTGCTGTCCACCAGACAGGAGTGCAGGAGGGACGCCAAGTGAGTAAGAAACCAGCTCTCAAGGGCGTGGGCCGCAGCAGGACCCTCCTGGTGGCAGGGGGAGGGTGTGAGGGCGAGCTGGGGCCTGCTGGGGCCCCCTGCTGGCAGAGGCTTAGAGCCACTAGCAAGGAAGGGGCGGAAGGCCAGGGTCTTCTGAGCAAGGACAGACCTTCCGTGGAAGAGCCGGCCTGATCCCCGTTCCCCAAAGCCTTCAACCCTCTTGCTGCCTGCCGCCTTCCACTCTGCACGACGAAAGCAGCCCGGTCGGGCCGGCAGCCACCCACCTTGAGCTTGGAGTGCCGGCTGCAGGACATCACCGTGTGCTTCCTCGGCCTGCCCCTGGGCCGCTTGCCTCTCTTCCGGTTCTGCACCTCCTTCTCGTGTTCCCTTAAGACAATCACCAATCAGGGTGGGAGAAGCCCAGTGCGCACACCCTTTCCCACCACACGAGACCCCCAGGGCCTCAGACACCCAACAGGCCGGGCCTGCCCTAGCTTCCGATCAGTTCCACTGCAAAAACCCATCCCATGGTTACCATACGCAAAGCAGACATCCAGACCCTCTTCTTTCTAAGACTTTTTTTAAAAAAAAAAAAACCTGTTTCATTTGCATTTGCGTAAAAACGAGTGAAAGAAATTCCAGCAAAGCTGTGAAAGGAGCAGTTCTCCAGTTTTCTCAGATCCCTTTCCAGACAGCCCTGTGCTAATCCTGGCTGCTTTCCACAGGTAGAATGTTTTGTGGAACTTCTAGGGTGTAGCCCACTAGAAGGAACCTTCGCGGTCACACGGTCCAAGCCCACTGCTCCAAACAAGAGTCCTGGGCCAGGAGACAAGGACCACTGGCCCCAGCCTCTGCCTCTCTGGGGTGCACAAAATCCTCACCAGTCCATGAACCCGGGTCAAGGGAACCCAAGGCTCTGGTCCCGTCTTGCACTCTGGGCTGGCTTCTCGGATCCAGTGCCCCTGGCTCCCTCATCTTCCCCGCCCCTTCCTTTTTCTAAAACCCGTTTCTAGACTGAGCTCTAGATGGAAGTCCTTGGAGGTGCCTGGTCCCGATGGAGCTGCAGCTCAAAACCTGCACCTCTGGTAGGACACCTTTCATCAGCTCCCAGAACTCAGGGCCATGAAGCCAAGCAAGCTGCCTCCAGCCCCACCCCAGAGGAAGCTTGTATTTCAGGCTACCCCTGGGGAAGGGGCTGATGTGGAGAAGCTTCCCAGTAATTAAAAGGGGCAAACATCACCCCGCTGAGGCCTGGAAAGCCATCTCTTAAAGAATCCAATTAGTACAACCAGACAGTTCACGCTCTCCGAAGCAGCCCCCACCCTGTCTCCTAGAGGGGCAGGAACATCTCACAGGCCTCCTCTGCCAACACATTAACCCGACCCGCAGGTTTTGAACCTCAGACTTGCCCTTACTTACAAATGTCAACCCCACACACCAACCATGTGACTGCCAGCTACTAGTTTCCGGGGGCGGGGGTGTCTTCTGGGTGCACAGGGGAAGGGAGACACCCACGTTCCCTGATTTCTCTTCCCCATGACGTCAGCCAGACCACCCCACGCTTCCCCAACTCTCTTATCTAAAATTAGAGGTGACATCTAAAATCACAGAAGCAAACTTATCCCCTGAGACCGGCAAGGGTGCTCCCTCAGCACCACCTGCTTTACGGCCTCAAGAAAAATAAATGCGTTGTTCCCAGGACAGAACCCACCAGAAGAGGCTTAGCTTTCTGCTGTGCTGTTTCAGGAACCTCTCTGGGCCTTCTCTTGCTCAACAGCACCCTCAGGCAGCACCGGGCGGCCAGGCCACCATTTTTACGGCGAACCTGCCATCCTGGTTTTTATTAGTGCAAATGACTCAACAGAAAAGGTCAACAGGAGAAGCTAGAACTCTTCACGAAGGAACCGAGAAGGTTCATTTTTGCGAACCTGGCTGTCGGAAAGACCTAGAAAGTGACTTCTTAGCTCCAGACACAGGGAGCTGGCGAGCTGAAGGAACGTCCGGAAGGAACCCCTGTGGTACCCCGAAGCTTGCTCCACCTCCGCCGAGGGCCATGGCGCAGGAGGCCCCGGAGACCACCCCGGCTGCCCAGACCCCAGCCCCGGCCCCGGAAGGCCAGCCCGGCCCTGAACAGCGATGCGACGGGCCTCGCTCTCCCCAACATTCTCCCCCTTCCCACGAGGGCTGGTTAACTTTCTCACTTCTTCTGGAAGGCCAGGAGCAGCCTTGGGTCCAGGATATTTTCCTCTGGCTCCCAGCTGTTGTGTCTGGAAAAGCAAAAAGCAGGGCGTCAAGAAACACCAGGCAACGACAGGTCCCTTTGGACAACATCGGGCATGCGGCCACCCCAACCCAGCGCGCCCTCCGATCCCCACTGGTGCAAGGGCATGGGTGGGGGGGGTATGGTGCAGTTCCCCTAAATCCCACAGCGGGAGGGTTGAATTCCTGGAGACCCGGGAGCCTCAAGGCCAAGGCCCCTGCGCCTCAACTCCAAGGGAAGCTACCACCTCAACCCTCAATTAACATGCGGCCTCAGGAAATCTCCGCGGTCTCCCCCTGGGAGGAAAACAAATCCCAATAAAATGGGAAGTCGCCGGGAGGGAAGCCCCCAAAGCCTGGCCCGGATCCAGCGAGGAAGGGAAGGCTGCTCCAGGACGCGCGGAGGGGAAGGGGAAGGGGAAGGGGAAGGGGAAGGAGGGGAAGGCCGAGGGGCGCAGGGGCGCAGCCCGAAGGGGAAGGGGAAGGGGAAGGGGAGGAACAATGTGCTGGCGCCCAGGCGGGCGCGGGCCAGGTCCTCGAGGGGAAGCCGAGGCAGCCGAGCGGGGGGTGGGGAGGGCGGGGAAGCGGCTGTAAACAGAGCCCCTTCCGGGGATGCCCAGTCCCCTTCCTTAGTTTAAAAGGGGGTAAAAAAAAAAAAAAGAAAAAAAAAAAAAGGAGGGTTTGCATCCATCAATAGAAAGCTCAGGTTACAGCGGGCGAAATCTGGACGGGAGGGATGGGGGGGGGTTCGCGCCCCGCGGGGGGCGCCGGGCCGAGGGCTCCCGGGGTGTCCGCGCGCCCCGTAAACAAAGGGCGGCCCCGCGCAGGCTGCGCGCCCCCTTCCCGCCCAGCGCGCGGGGACCCCGCGAACTTCCCGCCCAGCGCGCGGACGCCCCCGCCCCCGCCCCGTCCCCGTCCCGGGCCCGGCCGGCGCGGGCGGGAAGGCGGGCGCCGCGCGGCCGGGGACTCACTTGGAGGACCAGCCGCGCCACTTGACCAGGTACTCGAGCTTGCCCTGCGGGGAGAGAAGGGGCGCGTGAGCCGGGGCGGGCGGGCGCGCGCGCGCGGGCGGGGCCGGGGGGCCGCACGCACCTTGCGGAGCCGCTTGCTCAGGATGCACTCGGCGGCGAAGACCTGCTCGCCCACGCTGCTCAGCTCCTCCATGCTGCCCGCGCCCGCGCCCGCGCCCCGCGCCCCGCACCGCCGCCGCCGCCGCCGCGCGCCCACCGGCCGCACACAAAGCACCGCCCCCGCCCGCGCAGGGCCCGCCCCGCGCACGCGCGCCGCCTCCGCGGGCCTCCCGGGGCGCCTCCGGCCAATGGGCGCGCGGGGGCGGGCGCGGGGCGGGGCGCGCATTGTTCGCGGCGGGCTCGGCCTCGCGCCCTGCGCTGGGGTCCCGGCCGCGCCGGGCCGGGCCGGGCCGGGCTGGGGGCGCCCCGGGCGGGAGGGGGCGGGGCTCCAAGCGGGGCCCGGGACGCGGGGCGCGCCCGGCCTCCCCCGAACTTGGCTTTCCGGGCAAAAATCCATTGTTCTGGCCCGAACGGGGGTGGGGGGGAAGCGGGCCGCTTCCTGCCCCGGCCTCCGAGGGGCGCTGCTGCGGGGCCCCGCCCGGGTCGCGCTCCCCGGTTTGGGGCCGGACTGGCCTGTTTGCGCGGGAGCCCCCCCGAGCCCGGGCGGGGGAGGGAGGAATGGGGCGGGGAGCAGCCTGGCCGCGTCCCCCCAAAGGCGACCGAGGAGAATGCACCGATGCATGCACCGAGGCAGGGCGAGCTCCTTCTTCCCGCTGGGAGGAGTGGAGCCCGGGCCCCGCGCCCCCGGGGGCTTCGGAGGGAGAGACCGACCGCACCTTTAATTCCTCCCTCGGGTCTGATGAAACGACTGCGGGGCTGGGGGCAGGTTTGGGGAAACGGTCTCTAACGCCCAGGGCTGGGTCTCTAACGCCCCCCCCCCCCCCCCCGGATCCAGCGAGGTGCCCTGCGGAGCGCACGCGACCCCAAGGAGACCTTTAGGTCGGGGTGGCCTGCAGCCCCGTGTGGGCTCCTGTGGGCAGCTGCCTCCCTTCTGCTGAGACCCGTATCCACGGAGCGAGTCCCCCCCACACACACCTTACATCGTTTAGACCCTAAAGCAGACCGAATCCCACGTGTCCTCAAGGACATGTGTGTATCAGGCTTCACTTTTCCCCCCTCCTCCCGCACCGAGACACTCTAACTCAATGAAAATCCATTTTCTGGATTTGCTTCTCCCTTTGAACGCAGCTGCGAAGTGCTCTCTCTGCTGAGCACATCAGAAAGCCGTTTGTTTCTTGTTGCCGAGGGTGGGTGGGGTGGGGAGGTGTCTAAAAGTGATTTTTGATCATTGAAGCCGTGTTTATAAAGATTCTGCAAGAGAAGTGTGTTTTGTTGTTGTTGTTGCTGTTGTTGTTGCTGTTGTTGTTTTAACGGAAACGCCTGCTGTGAAAATTGGGACCTGCAGGAGCCCATCTTTCCATTGCTGGCATGTTCTCCACTTTAATTTGGTTAAATGTGCTGCATTCATTTGCTATCCTGGAGAGACTGTGGAGTGACATTTGCAAACTTAGGAGAGCTGTATCTACTGTTCTCAAGGAAGGCAGGAAGGAGGGAACACTGGATTGGGGGTTTGGAGGTGGAACTGCAGGCTCACTCTGGAGGGGCTGTAGCCCAGAACCCTTGTTTGGGGATGAAACCTGCAATCCTGGTTATAAGCAGAGCGTCGCTTATAATCTCCAGCTCTTTCTGTGTCCCTGTCTTCTGGATCTAGGCAGTAAATTGTGGGGTTGAAGCGGAAGGTGTATTTATTGTAATCCTAAAAATAGCTGGATCGGTTTCAACTCAGGTTTCCTTGCAGAATTTGTCTTGGGTGTGAGGATTTCGCCTTGGAATGTCCAGTTTCCTCTTGGTGAGATATGGTTCCCTGGGATACTTGCTTAATTTTTTTCCCCCCCCAAGGAAAGGAAGCTTAGGAAGGAGAATTCTTTCGTGCCCTAAGAAACACGTTTGTCTAGGATTTGATCCCAACCTATTAAAAAAAAAATCAATTTCCTGGAAAGTTGAACGCATACCTCTTCTATTCAACTGCGAGTATCCAGTTTGGGTGGAATAATGTTTAGATAATTTATTTGGAGAAACAGATATGACAGATTTGACTAGAGTTAAATTAGCAGATAAATAGGGCGAGGGTTGATCCAAAATCTGTAATGTGTTCCATAAAAACGAAACTGGAAGTAGGCAGAAAGGAGGAATAATTCCAGCTAATCCAATTGTGTCAAAACACGGGTTTAGGCTAACGCAGCTTCTGTCTTCCGTTTTGACTGTCACCGACTGTCACATTTAAGAATTATTAAGACAAGTTAGAACTAATTATTTTCCTGTTCATTCAACAAGGAGTTACTCAGCATTTGCTGTCAACCCGGCATGACTAGCTGGAGGTCTGGAGAGTCTCGCAGCGCCGTCTCAGAGAACTTCCCGAGATGGTGGGAGTGCCTTGTATCTGCACCCTTGCGTGTGCGTTCACCGCCAGCCATCTGTAGCTACTCGTGAGCACTTGAAACGTGGCCAGTGCAACTGAGGAATTGAGTTTTTTTATTTTATCTAATCTTAAGTAACTGAAATTTAAACAGTCCCGTGTGGCTAGTGGTCATGTATACCGGGCAGTCCAGGTCCACAGGGATGCCTGGGACAGGACTAAACACATTGCCAGCAAAAGGAAGGCAGGCGCCTGAATGAATCCTGAGACGTGAATAGCTTACGTATACTCCCATGTATGCTTTCTTACATTCGAGAATGTTCGCAACATGTACGGAAAGATAATACAAATACGGGCATAGAGGAGGACATTCAGACCCAATACTTTGTTGGGTGCCATTTGCTTTCTATGCAAGCGAGAGTGCCAGTGACAAAAATTAACTCATTGACGCCTGAAGTCTCGCTACGAACGGATATGTGTTTTCATGCTGTGAACCGAAAAGCCGAGACTTGGAGCGAGGAATGACGGGAGGTGTCACTCCCAAGTGAACGGAAGTCAGGAACTGAGATGAAGCCGGCACCCCTTGGCCTGGCACCTCGGCAGCTAAAGCGAAGTCACACGAGTTGGGTCTTACAAAGCAGCTTCAGGGCAGCTGTACGAGGAGTACCTACCGCCACGCGCACCCGACACACCGCCAGTGGTTTGCGAGGGGTGAACGCGGGATGTACAATAACACGCTGCACAGTCTGGGGGCGCCTGGGTGGCTCGGTGGTTGAGCGTCTGCCTTCGGCTCAGGGCGTGATCCCAGTCCTGGGATCGAGTCCCCCAGGGAGCCTGCTTCTCCCTCTGCCTGTGGCTCTGCCTCTCTCTGTGAATAAATAAATAAAATCTTAAAAAAAAAATACACTGCACAGTCCTTAATACTGGATGTGATGATTTGTCCTCCACCAGGTCCCCTCACATTTGCAAGACCGAGGTGTGACTTACTGACTGGCCATGTTATGTGATGCTGCCTCTGTGTACATAGTGGATAAATATCACGTATACACGACACAGAGTGTTTAGGTATCGGACCCCAAGTAAAAATAAGCACAGTTAGGGCGCTTGCACTTTCGGTTTGCCTAAGAATTCCCTGGGCGCGCAGTGCAAACATTGACCCCTAGGCCCCACCCGGGGATCCTGACCCGAGAGACCCCGAGGCTGTGTGCAGTTCTCATTGCTTAGAACCCGTCTCATGAAGGGCAGCCTGTCCCAGCCCTCCTTTTCCACTGGAGGAAAAGGAATCCTAAATTGCTTCAGATCTCGAGGCCGTGGAACCGTCCTGCCGTCCCCCACATGTGCCTGGTGCCGGCGGCCAGGCCAGGTGTGGAAGCAGCTCAGTGGCCTGCAGGGTTGGCCCAGGGAGCAGCAGCCTCTCGAACTCCTGAGACCCCACCCGCACCTCCCGGGGGCCCCAAACATCTGCACAAACTGGACCTGCTCATCTTGGATTCTTGGGGCAGGGGAGGTTAAGGAACATTCTTCCAAGTGGCGAGAAATGGACAGTTGTTTTTTTAAGATTTTTTTTTAAAGATTTTATTTATTCATGAGAGACACAGAGAGAGAGAGAGAGAGAGAGAGAGAGGCAGAGACACAGGCAGAGGGAGAAGCAGGCTCCCTGTGGGGAGCCCGAGGGAGGACTCGATCCCAGGACCCCAGGGTCACGCCCCCCCGGGGGTCCCTGGATCTACTGTTTTTGTTCAGAATTGCCAAACTGTGCCAGAGGGTCTGCACTGATGTACGCTCCTGCCCCAGATACACGGGGCTGACCCGTCCCCACGTTCTCAGCAGACCTGGGAGCTTCTGTCCATCTGGGGCACTTCTGAACGGACTCGACACTTAGCGGGTTTCGGTGGTATTGACACAAACGGATCACGTCTGTTACGCGTCCCGCATCTGCTTTCTTTCAAGACCTTTGCCGGGTGCAGAATGGCTCGAGTGTGAAGCGATTTTATGAGCGCAGTTTTCCGGTGTGAAATGCATTATTTTCACAAATTTAAAGATAACAAAGTTCTGAAATCTAGGGTGAAGCCCTTGCTTGAAAACCATTAATTAGTTTGGGGATTCAGAGCGGTAAACGAAAGCGCATTTATGACTTTGCTAATTGTTCTTCCTGGCTGCTGGAGGTGATCTCAGGCGTCCTCTATAAATCCTCTGAGCACCGCTGACACAGCCACGGGCTTCGGGTACCGTGAGTTTGAGACCCGCGCCACCACTCCCCCGCTGGGTAGCACGCACTTCCTATCTCAGTGCCTTCATTTGCTGGGTTACCTTTTGTCTAAAAGAACCCAAACAAAAAAAAGTGTCATTTAGATCCACAAAATGAGAGATTTTCATTGCCTTTTAACATTTTGCTGCTTCCCCCCCCCCGATGTTATTTATTCATTTATTTGAGAGAGAGAGAGAAAGAGAGAGAGAGAGAGCATGCACGAGCAGGGGGAGGGGCCGAGGGAGAGGGAGAGAGAATCCTCAAGCAGACTCCCACCCAGTGCAGAGCTCGATGCAGGGCTGGATCCCACGACCCTGAGATTGTGATCTGAGCTGAAACCAAGAGCCGTTTGCTCAACTGATTGAGCAGGTGGCTGGAGACCCTAATCCTGCTACTTTTTGACAAAAGAATATGAAGATAAGTCCAAAGGACACATTTTTTTAAACTTTACTTTTTAGAAAAT